ATTTGTGTTTATTAAATGATGACTCGCCTACTTATCTACATCCTGCCACAGCTTCTTTTTCTTCCCTGGATCTCACTATTTGCTCACCGGTCCTTTTTCAGGATTTTACATGGAGAGTAAATGAAGATCTATGTGGTAGTGACCACTTTCCTATCTTGATTGATAATAATGGTCCCTCTCCGGTCGAACGACCTCAGAGGTGGAAGTTGCATAAGGCTGATTGGGCTCTGTTTGAATCTTTGTGTCTCTTCTCTTTTGATTCAAAAGAGTTAGAAGATGCAGATGAGCCCATGGCTTTATTCACTTCAATTCTTCAAGATGTAGCTGAGCAGGCGATTCCAAAAACCACGACAGAGCCAAAACGTTTCAACAAACCATGGTTTAACGACGAATGCAAATCTGCTCTAAAAGAGCGTGATCGTATTTTGAGACGACTAAAGAACCATCCTTCCATGGAGAATATTGCGGCATACCAGATGGAACGGGCGAAGGCCCGTAGAACCATACGCCAAGCAAAGAAGTCTTCATGGCAAGGTTACGTCTCTAGGATAAATTCCCGTACCACTTCCAAATCGGTATGGGATAGGATTAAAGGTAAAAGTAGTGCATTATCAGTTAACCATCTCAATGTTGATAATACCACCTTAACAACATTTCCTGATATTGCCAATTCTCTGGCCAGTACATTTTCATTCAATTCATCATCCAATTTCTCCTCTGATGCCTTTCGGGGCATTAAGAATCAACAGGAGAAAAGGCGACTTAATTTCAAGTCCCGTAATGATGAATGCTATAATGATCGTTTTTCCATTGCAGAGCTCCGTGATTCGTTAAAGCGAGCTCGGGACACTGCATCTGGTCCAGATGACATACACTACCAAATTTTAAAACATCTACCTTATCCAACACTTCTTATTTTACTGGATCTTTTTAACCGGATTTGGGTTGATGGGAATTTCCCTCCTTCGTGGCATGAAGCCACAATATTTCCTATCCCTAAACCGGTAAAGATCATACGAATCCTACCAACTATCGTCCGATCGCTTTAACCTACATAACCTCGGCCTACGAGGTCGCTTACCTATCTTCATTAAAAATTTCCTGGAAGATAGGTCATTTAAGGTACGACTGGGATCAATATTCTCTGACCCATTTCCTCAGGAAATGGGGGTTCCTCAGGGAAGCATATTATCTCCTACTCTCTTTGCCATAAAAATTAACACGATCCCAGCGTGCCTTAAACCAGGTACAAACGGGGCTCTCTATGTTGATGACTTTCAGATGTGCTATGGTTCTACAGACATGCGGATAATCGAACGTAAGTTGCAGCTTTGTTTGAATTCACTTCAACAATGGGCAACCGAAAATGGATTTCGGTTTTCGAAATCCAAGACTGTCTGCATGCATTTCTGTCAGAAACGAGGTTTGCATCCAGATCCAGAACTTTATTTGGATGGCAATCGCCTTCCAGTTGTGGATGAAACCAAATTTCTGGGGCTGATATTTGATAAGAAATTATAATTTATCCCCCACATTAAAAACCTAAAAAAGAAATGTCTGAAAGCCCTCAACATATTGAGAGTCCTATCAAATACTGACTGGGGAGCAGACCGTAAGGTCTTGCTCAGATTATATCGAGCATTAATACGATCAAAACTCGATTATGGGTGTATTGTGTATGGGTCTGCCCGCGAGTCTTATGTCAAAGAGCTCGACACCATACATAACCAAGGACTTAGAATCGGTCTAGGATCATTTCGTACATCTCCAGTGGACAGTTTATACGTCGAGGCGCACGAGCCCTCACTGCACAACAGACGTGATAAACTGGCCCTGCAGTATGCTACGAAAATTGCACCACCTCTCTCCATGGCGATTGTTCATGACTTTACGGTCAGGAGGGTTTCGGCCAAGGTTTGCTTAATGGATAATCTCACCCAGTTTTAACAAAATTCTCTGAAACATATTATTGCCCCGTATCGTGTTCGAACAATCAGGGGCCATAATCCAGGAAGTTAAGTTCGGGTATCCACGATTATCAAAAGGAACCAAGATCTTAGTGTGTAATGGTAATATATTCACGCGTTTTTTTTTAAATCGGATAAAATTTGTGACTCTACAAGCTAAAACGTGATTTTTTTGTTAAATCAAGGGCCATAATTCAGGAAGTTACGATATGATATGGGCGAATATCGAAAGAAACCAATATCTTTGGGTTAAAAACATGTACTTCAAGTTTCATCGAAATCGGATCAAAATAGTGACCTCTAGAGGGTCCACAACCTTGATTTACCAGGTGTTTACACTATTTGCGTACGAGGGGCGGCCATTTTGTCGGCAGTTTTGGCCCGATTTTCACGACATTCGAACTCAACAAACATTACGGTGTAACGGTGATATATTCGAAAAAATTTTTTAAATCGAATAATAATTGTGACCTCTAGATGGACCGCAAGCTATAAACGCGATTTTGCGTACAATCAGAGGCCATAATTCAGGAAGTTACGATCCGATATGCGCAAATATTGACAGGAACCAAGATCTTTGGGTTATAAACTTGCATTTTAAGTTTCATCAAAATCAGATCAAAATTGTTGCCTCTACAGGGTCAACAACTTTGATATACCAGATGTTTACACGATTTGCGTACGAGGGGCGACAATGATGTCCGGCAGTTTTGGTCTGATTTTCATGAAATTCAAACTCAACCATCGTTAGGGTGTAACGGTGATATATTCGAACGTTTTTTTTTTTAAATCGGATAATAATTGTTATCTCTAGAGGACCACAAGCTAAAAACGCGATTTTTCGTACAATCAGGGGCCATAACTCAGGAAGTTATGATTCGATATGTAGGAAGTTGTGATTCGATATTTTCGAAAATAGAAAGGAACCATGATATTTGGGTTATAAACATGTATTTCAAGTTTCATCAAAATCAGATGAAAATTGTGACCTCCAGAGGGTCCACAACCCTGATACACAATATTTTGACATTATTTGCGAACGAGGGGCGGCCATTTTGTCCATCAGTTTCGGTTCGATTTTTACGAAATTCGAACTCAACCACTCTTAGGGTGTAACGGTGATACATTCAAACGTTTTTTTTAATCGAATAAAAATTGTGACCTCTATGGGGTCCACAAGCTAAAAACGTGATTTTTCGTACAATCAGGGGCCATAATTCAGGAAGTTATGGTCCGATATGCCCGAATATCGAAATGAAATGAAATGAAATGGGGTTTAACGTCCTACTGTTCTGCTCATAAACTGGGCTAGTGAAGACGGGCATACGCCATACAGTGTGCTTTGAGGGAAATTTTGCCCGGGCAGCGGCGCTACGGCCTACCCTTTTATCGAATTCCAACTGACAGTATTTGCGAACGAGGGGCGGTCATTTTGTCCGTCAGTTTTGGTCCGATTTTTACGAAATTCGAACGCAACCATCCTTAGGGTGTAACTGTGATATATTGTAACGGTTTTTAAATCGGATAAAAATTGTGACCGCGATTTTTCGTACAATTGCGTTCAATCGTTTAGTTTAATCCCAGCGTCTTTTAGTTTGGAAGGGACGAAAAACTTTAGTCCGGTGTACATGTAGAAGAGCACGAGATAGAGAGTCAGTGACGCCGACGGAAAATCAAGACGGAGGGATCGAACATGGAACCTCCAGGTTATAACGAGCTAGCATCTTAATCACTGAGCCACCGTGGCTCCATGTTTGCAAAAGATAAAATATTACCAATTGTTGCATTCATACCAATGTAATTTAAGTACATGTATACTATTATTCTTTTTACCCGTGTGGTTTCTCCTTGTCAGTGTCTAGTCGTTTGGGTGGAACGAAAAATAGAGGTCCTGATTACACATTGACTTGCACGTAAAAGAACCTTTAATGGTTCAGGTAAAAGGACACCTAACAGCTGCAATTCAAAATAAGGGTAGGCTGTGGCGCCGCTGTCAGGGAAAAATTGGTCTAATACCATACTGCATGACGTATTTTAGACTTCAATGTCCCAGTTGGGGAAGAAAATTAGGACGTTAAACCCCAGTTCATTTCGTTTCTATATAGCCTACCCTTGATCGAGACTTTTTAAACGGGATGGACGCAGTGATGTTAGTAGTTACCCGTATATAAATCCTTACCCATTTTAGACAAAAATCAGGATTTGTTCCAACTTTTGTCACTGATTTTACAAGGTTGCTAGCGAAGAGCTGCACATGTTGACCGAACCAGATAGGTCTCCCGTTACTATCACCAGGTATATAAATGATTCAAAGATGGTAAAACGGCAGAGGGTTTGGATGGCCTAGTGGTCTAGAGTGTGGCGCTTCGAACTCTAGTTGTCTGGTCACCTCTGGCTGGCGGTCGTGGATTCGATCCCTGGTGTGAGCGTATGTGGCTTGGAGATAGGTGCGGCTTCTCAACCTCGTGGGTTTACTCCGGTTTCTCCCCACATGAAAGACCCCTGCGCTGAGCTAAGTAAAATAAGACAACAAATCTGCGACATCACCCTCGGTGGAAACGGACGTTAAACACTAATGCCCGCGATACGCTGTGTACATACGATATAAACCTATTTAGATTATTCCGGTCATTCACATTTAGAACTTCTTTGGACGGTGCATTTAGTAATTGAACAGTAACATACTAAAAACTATTTATGGAATAACAATTAATGATAACTAATTAGCTCACTATATCGCTTTGATCAAGTGCTTGTTATTATGTATATATTTATATTCCTCCAGTTTCCTCCCACTGCTAAAGACCCCTATGCGCAAGCGAATTATTTAAATAAAATTAGTCCCGAAATGACCTAGTTTGTGTCGAGTGGATATGTCAGGGATCAGGGATATGTCAAACAATTGCGGATAGGACACGCGTCTGTGGATTACAAATGCTGTTTATTTAAAGTTGGATTATCGACTATCATTTCTAATTCTCTTGGCGTCCTTGTCAATATAATAATTGATAACCAAGTACAAAAATTAATTCATTTACAGAGTTGAAGATCAATTTTATTCGGACGTGATCCTACTAAAACTTCCATACAACAGATATAACAAATTAGTGTTTATGCTTAATAAAGTAATTCATGGACAGAGTTGAAGATCAAATTTAAAAGATATATAAGATATACATAATTAATGGCGGGTGGGAGGGGCTGTGGATAGCATAATAAATTATGTCCTCGCGAACACTTCTAGTTAATGTTTCAACAATGCAGTAATAGCTTCAAGGGCTTCACAACAATCACAACCTGTAAGTACACGACGCAATAACTGAGTATTAAAATATGTTTTATTATTATCGAATGCTCAATAGGATATGGTGTTTTATTTTATCGGTTGACAATAAATAGGTGAACAGAAATGAATTGTTTACAATTGCGTAAAGGCCATTTTTACAGGTACCTACTTTTGCTAAAGAACGTCAACCAACTTTTTGGAGGGAAACCTCACAAATTTTTGAAGGGAAAGCTCACTTTTCCATCATCATGGATTTCCACAGAAGGTTGCTTTCCATTAAAGCTGTAACATTTACTATGCTGATAATCGCCATTCGCGGTAGGAAACGAAATAGATTTGGGCCATGAAGTGGATACAGAGGGGGTGCATATCATTCTATCTTCAAGAAACTGGGGGATGATGATCAGGCATTCTATAAACAATTCCTTAGAATGGATGTAGCCAATTTTAAAGAACTACTGATGAAAAATGAGCCACTTATTTTGACATGGTGGTCTTAAGATGTGGAACCTGCCATTTTGATTTTTTGTCATGTGCCCCAATTCAGCACGTGACAGACATGCATTGTCCTACAATGTTCAAATTAATGTGTATGCTCGAACAAAATCCAACATGTTCAAGCTTGTTCATAGTTGTCAAATTCCCATACACACGACATTTTCCTGCGTACATGATCCTACAAATGTTGGATGGTGTTCTTGAACAAAGGTGGGATCGTGTAAAATGGCCTTAAGATGTTTGCACTCTTAGTAACCATGTACCCTTAACTGAATATTACATGTAGCATTACATGTTCAGAAGTAATGTAAGCTAGTGTTGTCCGTTACATGGATTAGACAACCCCAAAAAGTATTTTGATGTTGTTTATTTTTTTTTTACTTTTAATTGTCTTACCTCTTGTTTTTTTTATAACCTTTCTACAATAGACGGTTGTATCCTGTCCACGATATCCGGTTGTCCAAATCCAATCGGCTCTACCATTCAAAGAAGAAGGCCTCGATCCCCAGTTAAACGTTGGCACTATAGCATTTGGCCACTTAGAGTCATCGAAGCTATAATATAAAGACAATAAGACGAAGATGACAGAAGATACGATACAATCAAATTAGTGGCGGATAACAACGTTCATTAAAACTAATATCTGTTAATTTCTGAAAATATGGAGGGATCACCAGAACTTACCCAGGTTTATTCCAACCTGCTGCGTATGTCTTGGAACATTTCCATGTGGTATCTGTTTTAATGCCATTACTTAATGCCAGCTTGATGCCACCAACTACACCATGATCCACGCAATGAACAGCAACCACTTGAGTATTACCGGGAATACTGACGGGTGATGATTTAGTCCAATCATTATCGTTTGCATTTGTATATCGAACGCCATCAGCATAAAAATACATGGTGTTGTCACATGTTGCATCACCAGTGATAGTTGACTGAGCTAAAATATTAAAATGATTTATTCGTTAAAGGGACCATACTAATATTAACAGTCTCAGAAATAAAAGTCTGTATACGTATGGGGGGGTTGGATGGCCGAATGGTTAGCACGTGCGCGCTGTATCATAAAGCCTGTCATTGAGTAAACTGGCGGGGTTTCGAATCCCCGGTTGTACGTGGCAAGGAGTAGGGTCGCCTGTCCAACCTCGTGGGTTTACTCCGGGTCCTCCGGTTTCCTCCCACTGCTAAAGACCCCTACGCGCAAGCGATTTATTGATATAAAATTAAACCATATGTTAGTCCCGAAATGACCTAGTTTGTGTCGAGTGGACGTTAAACCCTATTTCTCTCTCTCTTTTGTATACGTATGAAATGTAAGCGCCAAAATATAGAGGAATGGTGTATTTATCTTGTCTCAAAATTTCAGCTAAAAATATTGAGTCCTTTGAACGTGAACGTCAAAACCGCTTATCCGGGCACATAACCCTTTCAAGATTTCAGGTCAATAATCTATTGCCGTTTCTTTAGAGTTATATACAGTGGATGATCCACGTGCTGTACTTGATAACGAAAGTTAAATTTCACCAACATATTATTTTTATAAAATAAAGTCGGGTTTTATCCAGACACCACATAATACACAATGGGACACCGGTCTCCATTTCCACATGAACACTGAGGGTTCCTAGAAAAGTATTTATCGGGTGGTTATTTCCAATAAAAGTATGGCAATTTTGGTATGTAGAGATATCCAATCTTACTAGAAAAATACTGGATTCCCCGAAAAACACTCATGGAGCGTATACAGGACAAAAATGTAAGGGTTCCCCTAATCAACAGCCCGACGATTAAGAATTTCTGCACGCGTGATGTCAAAGGTCACACGCGAACATTGAGCGCTTGATGTACAAGTTGATAAACGCTATGAAGAGTTAGACGTACAACACTTTCTGAGATAAAAATGACGGAAAAAGACGCGGGTAGTGGATAACCCGAGAATTTAATTAGGATTCGATATTTGTAATAAATAGTAAGCGATTAAAGACAACATCGTCTTATGTATACAATGGATTCTCCTCTGACTTCCAAGACGTGACGTAAACATGACCTGGTTTGATCGAATTTTAATAGCAGGGCATTCCTTCGCAATTACAATGTTTGAGAAGGATTTGAAGCATAATTATGACAAATTAATTAGTTTGAATATGTTTTTAGTCCATATAGACCATTAAATCGCCCAGTTTGTACGCGGGACCCATCTTTAAGTTGTTTGAAAACGTATCACGTATATTGAGTTAGTTGCTCGGCCCTAAGGTAGAGGATTTTAAGGGATTTTAGCACAAAATTATGCTGTTTTATTCTCCAAAATATTATCGAGATTGGCCCTTTAAATGTAAATATTCAAATTAAAAGCAAATAGTACTTTTCCAATAGTACTTAAGTAATTGCAATAATCTATCTCAAAACTATACGAATCATCCTGACTAACAACACTTTTAAATTTTGCGAATTAAATTACAAACAAATTACTAAAGCGGCACTAAAATTAAGTAAATAAGCCAACAGTGAGGCAGATGTCCCCCGCCGAAATCTCAAAATAAACAGATGCCGCACATTTATCTTTTTCAAATCAAACTGATTATCTATGCTTAGTCTAAGCATACAATGTTCACGATCAAACTTGGTCAGGTTTCGAAGTACCTGGTAGTGAAAATAAATACTAAGTTCTATCACTCTCCATGAGTTAGAATCGAAGTTATCTTGCCCCAAAGCATCGACCAATGAAATTTTATAGCTCTGCTTAGCTTTAGCGGGAAATTTTAATCATTGAACTCAGTCAAGATCTTCAACTAATGAACATCTCAATTAAAAGCGGAGTTGTTATGTTCCAAAGTCATGACCAATCAAATTGGTTATGTTCAAAAGTCATGACCAATCAAATTGCTTATCTACTTAGCCTAAGCAGAAAATTCTCACCGCCGAACTTAGTGTATTGATATAATGAATCTATACTCAGGTTCATCGCTCTCACCCAATTAGAACCAAAGTTATCGTGTTCCAAATTCCCAACCAATCAAATTGCTTATCTCTGCTTAGCCTCAGTGGAAAATGAGTATGTTCGCACTCTGTCAAGTCAACCCCCCCTGGGGTGTAGGGGGTGATAAGAATATACCCTTCGTATGTCCTGCGTGTCGTAAAAGGCGACTAAAAGGATCCCCGTAATGGGGCAACGTGTTTGCCGTGCGTTGCGACCCGTGTCGGTGGAGAGTTGAATCCTGGTAATTGAGTGGGGATTTGGTTTGCGAGCCCTTTCTCTGCAACACATTACTTTGGCCCATGGTTCACCTAGACGGGAGGTCAGAGTTTCCCACTCTGATCAATCGGCTTTGGTCGTTTTTAGCTCTGTAGAAGTGTACTCCCATTTCCTGAGGAAATGGGTCAGAGAATATTGATCCCAGGCGTACCTTAAATGACCTATCTTCCAGGAAATGTTTAATGAAGATAGGTAAGCGACCTCGTAGGCCGAGGTTATGGAGGTACGCCTGGGATCAATATACTCTGACCCATTTCCTCAGGAAATGGGAGTTCCCCAGGGAAGCATATTGTCTCCAACACTCTTATGATACTACATGGAAACATGGTATCATGCGCGACCTCCATAACCTCAGCGTACGAGGTCGCTTACCTATCTTCATTAAAAATTTCCTGGAAGATAGGTCATTTAAGGTACGACTGGGATCAATATTCTCTGACCCATTTCCCCAGGAAATGGGGGTTCCTCAGGGAAGCATATTATCTCCTACTCGTTTTGCTATAAAAATTAATACCACCCCAGCGTGCCTTAAACCAGGTACAAACGGCGCTCTTTATGCTGATGACTTTCAGATGTGCTATGGTTCTACAGTCATGCGGATAATTGAACGTAAGTTGCAGCTTTCTTTGAATTCACTTCAACAATGGGCAACCGAAAATGGATTTCGTTTTTCGAAATCCAAGACTGTCTGCATGCATTTCTGTCAGAAACGAGGTTTGCATCCTGATCCAGAACTTTATTTGGATGGCAACCGCCTTCCAGTTGTGGATGAAACCAAACTTCTGGGGCTGATATTTGATAAGAAATTATCATTTATCCCCCACATTAAAAGCCTAAAAAAGAAATGTCTGAAAGCCCTCAACATATTGAGAGTCTTATCAAATACTGACTTAATAAGATCAAAACTCGATTATGGGTGTATTGTGTATGGGTCTGCCCGCGAGTCTTATCTCAAAGAGCTCGACACCATACACAACCAGGGACTTAGAATCAGTTTAGGAGCATTTCGTACATCTCCAGTGGACAGTTTATACGGCGAGGCGCATGAGCCCTCATTGCACAACAGACGTGATAAATTGGCCCTGCAGTATGCTACGAAAATAGCATCACTTCCGAATCACATTTCATTTAACACCATATTTAGACCTCTTTATGAGCATTTGTATCTGGTGAAGACTAATGTTATTCCATCATTCGGTATTCGCATACAACCCCTTTTGTCTGAGGCTGGTATCAGCCTTGACAGTATTGCGAATACCCCTGTCTTTAGGACTCCACCGTGGGCTATATCTCCCCCAAAGATCGATTTCGATCTAACTCAACATAAAAAGAGAGATACTAGCTCTACGGTGTTCCAATCTCTCTTTAGAGAGTTAAGGTCTAAGTATGGTGATTATGCTCCTATTTACACAGATGGTTCTAAAGATGGTGATCGGGTAGCCTCGGCTACCGTGACGCCATCTGAGACCATTTCTGTGTGTCTTCCACCTGCTGCTTCAATATTTACAGCTGAGCTCCAGGCCATTCTTCAGGCCTTGGAGTTCATACAATCCTCTTCATCTTTAAAGTATATCATCTTTACTGATTCTCTGTCCTCGCTTCAAGCAATTAACAACAAACAGCTTGAACACCCATTAGTAGCAGATGTTTATCATCTGCTATTATCATACGAGTTCAACAGTAAAGACGTCGTCTTTTGCTGGCTCCCCAGTCACGTAGATATAAGGGGGAATGATCAAGCAGATTTTGCTGCCAAAGCTGCTTTAGATCTTCCCCAATCACCCTTTTTAATACCATATAAAGATTTTAATTCGTGTATAAATCATTTTATTTATGACCGCTGGCAACGGTTTTGGGATTTTGCAGGCACAAATAAACTTCATCACATTAAGCCTCTCCTAGGAGATTGGCCCAACTCCTATAGAACCAACAGAAGGTATGAAGTTGTTTTGTGTCGCTCTCGCATTGGTCATACTTTTTTAACTCATATTTTCATTTTGAAGCGAGAGCCTCAACCGGAATGTGTTCACTGTCATGTTCCTTTGACAGTGAAACACATCTTGATTGAGTGGAAACATCTCAAGAACATTAGATCTAAATATTACCGTTGCCAGTCAGTACGTCAGCTATTTGCTCAACCAGAGCTATATGACAAAGTGCTAACATTTTTAAAAGAGACAAACTTTTATAATCAATTTTAATTGTATATATTTAATCATGTATATCCTTTTAAATATTTATATATGTAAAAGATTTGTTATATTTATTTTTAATTAATATATTTTCTGTGATATTTGTTTTTATTTACATATATAAATTCATTTATGTGATATTGTTTTAATTTGTCTCAGATTCACCATATGTTTGGCGCAATATAGCCCGGTTGGAGCTGACGTGCCATAAAACCATATTTCATTCATTCATTCATTCATTCTGGGGCTGATATTTGATAAGAAATTATCATTTATCCCCCACATTAAAAACCTAAAAAAGAAATGTCTGAAAGCCCTCAACATATTGAGAATCTTATCAAATACTGACTGGGGAGCAGACCGTAAGGTCTTGCTCCGATTATATCGAGCTTTAATAAGATCAAAACTCGATTATGGGTGTATTGTGTATGGGTCTGCCCGCGAGTCTTATCTCAAGGAGCTCGACACCATACACAACCAAGGACTTAGAATCAGTTTAGGAGCATTTCGTACATCTCCAGTGGACAGTTTATACGTCGAGGCGCATGAGCCCTCACTGCACAATAGATGTGATAAACTGGCCCTGCAGTATGCTACGAAAATAGCATCTTTACCAAATCATATTTCATTTAACACCATATTTAGACCATATCATGAGCATCTATATCTGCTTAAGACTAAAGTTATTCCACCTTTCGGTATTCGCATACAACCCATTTTGTCTGAGGCTGGTATCAGCCTAGACAGTATTGCGAATACCTCTTTCTTTAGGACTCCACCGTGGGCTATATCTCCCCCAAAGATTGATTTCGATCTTACACAACATAAAAAGAGTGATACTAGCTCCACGGTGTTTCAGTCTCTCTTTCGAGAGCTAAGGTCTAAATATGGTGATTATGCTCCAATATATACAGATGGTTCGAAAGATGGTGATCGTGTAGCTTCGGCTACTGTGACACCATCTGAGACCATTTCTGTCCGCCTTCCACCTGCTGCTTCCATCTTTACAGCTGAACTCCAGGCCATTCTTCAGGCTTTGGAGTTCATTCAATCAACATCTGATTTAAAATATATAATTTTTACTGATTCTTTGTCCTCACAATAAATAATAAACAGCTTGAACACCCATTAGTAGCAGACATTTATGGTCTGTTACTATCAATAAAATAAAACCAAGTACGAACAATCCAAACCATTAGACAAAATTCGAAGTCCTAAAAAAACGGTATAGGCAAAATAGTGTAATAAGGCAAAATAGTGTAATCAGCAAGGACATTGTCCTTTGCTGGCCCCCCAGTCACATGGATATAAAAGGGAATGATCAAGCAGATTTGTCTGCCTTAGATCTTCCCTTTTTCGAATTTTTAACGCCATACACGGATTTTAAATCCTGTATAAATAATTTTATTGATGACCGCTGGCAACGGTCTTGGGATCTTGCAGACACAAACAAACTTCATCACATTAAGCCTCTTTTAGGAGGCTGGCCAAGCTCTTATAGAACTAACAGGGGGGATGAAGTTGTTTTGTGTCGCTCTCGCATTGGTCATTCTTTTTTAACTCATATTTTCATTTTAAAGCGAGAGCCTCAACCAGAATGTGAACACTGCCATGTTCATTTGACAGTTAAGCACATTTTGATTGAGTGCAAGCATTTCAAGGATATTAGATCAAATTTTTACCGTTGTCAGTCATTACATCACATGTTTGCCCAACCGGGTTTATATGGTAAAGTGTTAGACTTTTTAAAGGAGACAGGATTTTATCAGAAATTTTAATTGTATATATATATATCATTTCATTTTTGTATTTAATATTTATATGCATAAAAGATGTATTTTATTTTTAATTTTACTAATTGTGATATTGTTTTTATTTATGCATATAATGTTTTTCTGTGATATAATTTAGCCTGTCTTGTAATATTCACCATATGTTTGGCGCAATATAGCCCGGTTGGAGCTGACGTGCCATAAAACCACATTTCATTTCATGTCATTTCTGTCAAGTCATTCAACTACACCAGTTTTGAACATTCTACCGCAATTAGATTTATTGTGTTCCAAAGTCTCGACCTATTAGACTGAAGTTTCTACTTTGCCTAAGCAGAAAATGCTCAGCATCGAACTTTGTTAAGGTATTGATGTAATGTAACTAAACACGAAGTTTCACCCCTATCAATCAATTATAATCAAAGTTGTCGAGCTCCAAAATCTCAACCAATCAAAGTGCTTATCGCTCTGCTTACCCTGAGCCGAAAATGTTCATTATCAAACTTAGTCAAGGTATTGATGTGATGGAACTATACACCAATTTTCATCACTCACTGAATTAGAACTAAATTTATCGTGTCCCAAAGCATCAACCAATCAAACTGCTTATCTCTGCTTACCTAAAGCAGAGAGAGAGAGAGAAATGGGGGTTTAACGTCCACTCGACACAAACTAGGTCATTTCGGGACTAACATATGGTTTAATTTTATTTCATTAATTCGCTTGCGCGTAGGGGTCTTTAGCAGTGGGGGGGGGGGGGGGAAACCAGACTAAAGCAGAAAATCCTCATCTCATCTTCGAACTACACCAAGGAAATAATCTAATAAAATCTACACCAAGGTTGAACATTACAGCTCAATTAGAAGGATGGTTGTTGTGTCCCAGAAAGTGACAGACAGACAGACGGACCATTTAGTAACGCCCTGTTTCTTCGAAAGGCGGGGCAAATTAATAATCGGGTCTCTGGAGGAAAACTTATAATCAATTGTAGAAATTAAATATGGAGTGAGTTACAGATTATATTTAGAAAATCTATTGAAAAGATTCATAGACCATATAGTTTCTATTTGGAATTAGCGATGTTGCATACTTGCGAAACATAGTAGACAATTTAGACCTTAATATCAATTTTCCAACTGAAACGAACAATCTGCAAATCTCATTCTTCGATGTTCTAGTGAAACGAAGTGTGTGTGTGTGGGGGGGGGGGGGGCTCCTAATAACGGATATGTATTCTAAGGAAACAGATGCCGAATCTATTTTTGTTTTAGGTCAGGTCATATACACCCTTCCAGAAATAAAATACCGTTCTCATTAGGTACAAAAATATGCACCATTGTGACAGATGAAGATCCGCGGACCTTCCGATTAGGTGAGCTACAAACAAATATATTGAAATAGCATCGAAGTAATAGACGTTGGGATAAATAAGGCTTTGGCAATTGATATACAAATATTGAGGGCTACTAAAGTTGAGGAAAGTTCGAATAATAGCATTACCTTTGTCTCTAGCCAGAACCCCCACCATCCTAACTTCTTTAAATCAATGATTGAGAGCTGGACAATCCTGGCATTAAACAACAACATCTTGTCATTGAACCAAGCTGACACACTATCAAGTAATCAGGAACTTGCATCAAATCAGAAACTAAAATCAACTTGTTGTCACTGGAACGGCCAGATAAGTCCATGGGGTTTTATATTTTGAGTTTTTAAACGTTTATTGAAATAAAATGGTATTATAATATTTATTACCTTCAGAAACAAGAAATCCGAATATCGTCAACAGCACCAATATCTCCATTGTGTTTATTTCACGCCTCTGTAAATAACGACATATTAACTAATTAACATGATCGAATATTATACAGTTTCAACTTCTCTTGTACCATTTAAATTACGTCATCTACGAATATTGCTAGGCTGATATATATATATCGACTTTCACCCAGGCCGGTTGTGATGGGAGTGGCGTCTTTTTGAACGCTAAAATTTAAAGTGGACATCTAGTTTATGCCGTTTGAAACTCTACAGTTTTATTGTATCGGGATTTTTCTAAAATTTAATCGTAACCGCCGTTGTGTAGTATGCCTGTAGATTAATTTATTATAAGTTTATTATGCTATTTGACTATTTAACATTTATGCTTTCAGATAAAAATCAGTTATGAAAATACGAAATGAAATGAAATGAAATGGGGTTTAACGTCCTACTGTTCTAATGAAGACGGGCATACGCCATACAGTGTGCTATGAGGGAAATTTTGCCCGGGCAGCGGCACTGTCGCCTACTCTTATATCGAATTCCAACTGCCAAGGGATCTTTTACGTGCATTCCAACCGGAAGGATTAGACAGCTGTCCTTGTCGGGCCCTCCGTCCTGCATCACTTACAAGGGGGAACCACGCCGGAAAATCTGGATGGACTTTCTCGGTCAATGCAGGGATCGAACACCCGACCTCCAGGCTAGCGAGCCAGCGTCTTACCCACTTAGCCACGTGATCCCCCATGAAAATACGAAATAGATGAACTAAATATGCTTAGTCTGAAACAAATCATTACATTTTTTTTATAATTATCCTAATAATAAATAGCCTTAGTTACTACAGTTTTATAATTGTGTTTATAAAAAGTCTTACCTTAATGTATGAGCTCTCCTGTTTATCGGCCTGCTATGCGCATGTATGGCTTTATAGGGAAACATATGGATGAATAGTTGTTATATAATTTACTCGTTTAATTATACAACGTTTAATAAGTTACAAGTTGTAATTAATTTTAACAGTTTGATTCCCCTAATTTTAACAGTTAGATTCCCCTGTAGTCAAATGACAGATGGGAAACTGGCCCCTCCAGAACAGTTGAAATTGGAAACCAAAATGCTGTTATATATGTGTCGAATCTTTTTGCAGTGATATTGATATATGCACCTTTATTTTCTCCCAGTTGTGAGGTGTCGGGCAGGGAGTGGAGGTGTTGATTCGAGCTTCGTTATACGCGAACATAAAATATCAAAACAGTCAATTAACTTCTATTTGGGATTCAGGAATATATTTTATGTTTAAAACGGTTCCATAATAAAAACATTCACTTTTAATCAAATACAAATACATGTTGTTTGTTATGATAAAAAAAGGATGCCGCATCTGTCCAATCTATAAAATATCTATCAAATAGAAATACATGATTTTGTCACATATAACATCACCATTAAGCATCTAATGATAAACAGTTTAATTTACAAAATAACTTGAATAGGGGCTCATACAATTTGAATATTCCTCTAAAACAACTTCAGTTAGAGTTTTCTGTGACATGGATTGATTTCGTATACATCAATGCTACAAGTTTATGAAAACTACGAATACATATTTCCATCAATTTCAAAATAGCGCGAAAACAAAGGGGAAATGTTTAAAGAAGAGTGTATGTTAGTAGATATATCTATATCAGATTTATGAGAAACAAATATTTGCTCCCGCAAAGACGTTTATAACTTGTTTTAAATTTTGCTTGGGATTAAATTAAACGATTGAACGCAATCGTCCCCTATTGATACTCAAGTTGTTGCTGTGAGGACTTCCGCACAGTTGGTGGCATCAAGCTGGCGTAAAAAACAGATACATACGTATGCACTAGATTGGAATAGTCCTAGGTGAGTTTTTTTGGAAAAATTAGCCAAGATTGAAATTAACTCTTCTTTCTTTGATAAGAAAAGGCGGAAGTGGTTGGAAATGTCGAGCTAGTATTGTACGCTAGCCATTTATTGATAACCCTAGACTATAATAATACTTTCTGGATTCGTTTTTAAATTCGCAGGAAGGGCTCATTTGGTCAGTGGTCAAACGTAAGAAGGTTGGCAAAATTCTAAATTTTGTAGAGTAATTCCTCATTTTACCACATGATTTATAAAATGTTGTGAATACGATACATGTCAATAATATGTTTTAGAGACTTTTGTTAAAACTGGGTGAGGTTATTGTCCATTAACCAAACCTTTGTCGAAACTCTCTTGACCGTAAAGTCATGAACAATCGCCATGCACAATTAGTGGAAGACATGGAGAGATGGTATAGTGACATAGGGAAGTCATTAGAGGTCTGGACGACACATTCAATTCCATTATATACTTCTTTTACATAATGATCCACAATACAGCTATGGTGTCCATAACCGAATATTCATTGCGGGTCTCTTTTTAAAAGAGACGTTTTTATCATAAATTTTAATTGTATATTTATCATTTCATTTTTGTATTTTAAATATTAATATGCATAGGTTTATTTCATTTTTAATTCTATTTACATGTACTGTGATACTGTTTTTATTTATGCATATAACACTTTTTCTGTGATATTTCTTTAACTTGTCTCACATAAATCCCCATATGTTTGGCGCAATATATCCCGGTGGGTGCTGACGTGCCATAAAACTTCATTTCATTGCGGGTCTAATATTAAATTTGAGTCCTTAATGTGATTTTTCTTGTCATTAAATAAATGTTTTTATCTATCAACGTTATTTTTATCGCCGATATCCATTAACTCGAGACCAATCCTTCAAAAAATAATCGACATAAGATTTCATACACGACTAAATCCAAGTGTCAACATAATTATACCCCCCCCCCCCCCCGCCGACTTGCGAGCTAAAGTGCTCCACTTGTTATTGCATGTAAGTTTTACTTTAACTCCCTAACAATTGAGAGCATACATACATAACCAATGACTGAAAATATATTAACACTCTCGAGATAAATGTATATTCTGCACGATATTTCAAGACAAGCCCCCCCCCCCCCACTCCCTGCCTCCTGAATATACCCTTCGTATGCCCTGTGTGTAGCAAAAGGCGACGTGTTTGCGAGCTGTGTCTGTGGAGAGTGGATTCCGGGTGATTCACTGGGGATTAGGCATGCGACGAGTTCCTTCTCTCCAACACATTACTTGCCCATGGTTCACCTAGACGGGAGGTCGGAGTGCCCCATTCTTAAGAGCGTGTCCGCGAGAAAACCATGCAGAAGGTGCTAAGGCTTCAATCACAGATTTTGACCAAATTTGGTTTATAAGTTGGGATAGTCCCAAAACACATAAATGTGCAATATTGACTTCTGCAGTTGTCCACGACCTTCCATTGGAGTTTCGACGTGCTCAATCTTAACAAACATATCCATTACTCTCAAATAGACATTATTTTAAATAAAATAATCCAACGAAAATGAAAAATTCACCTAAAAGTGAGATTCGAACCACCAACCGCATGACTTCACCCGACCCACCCTTTCACCGAGTTGCTTGTCCCAGGGCCCCAAGGTCCATGTCGTGGGCCCTGTTCAGGGGGTTTGCCTAGGGCCTCTCTTATTCTAAATCCGGCCCTGAAGGTGCAGCTGACGGTGCCCGAGAGCTGTAGCTACCATACTACACTGTTCAATGTCACCCACTTCGACGCAATTAGGCTTCGTTGCCGTTAATATTTAAGCTTCCACATTTCTGTATTGTAGAAATCAGTGGATGTGTCCCAAAATGAATAGTGGAAACATACTCTGAAATTAAACATTTTGTAGCCATTTTCGGTAACTTGTTTGAAAATGAAATCTTAAAGAGACAATACAACAAATATGTTAAAGGGACAATACGACAATACCAAATATACAATAAATACAAATACACACTTATATAGAGTACAACACGGTACAAATAATGGCTATGGATATGATGAAAACGTATAAAAGTCAAAAAATTTATTTCTCTAATTAAATTTGCCAAAAAATGTACCACAAAAGCTTATTTTTAGCACTTTTCAATAAGCTGTATATTTTAAGTATGTTGCATTCCGGTCATTTTTTTTTACACCTATGGATACTATGTGCTTAGCAAAGAAATTCTACTTGCGACCATGAAAGAAAAAGTTACAGTCTATCTTTTTCTGCACTATAAGGACAATGTGAATATGGTACCCTAAAACAAGTCCACACAAAATTAGTATGTACTGATTTTTTTTTTCAAATTAGTGCTGGGGTAGAAGTTGACCACCCGCTTTATCAGACAGGGTCAAAATTAGAAGGTTGCTATTCCACCATAGAATGCAGTCTGCTTAAAAAAGGTGATAAATACACATGTGAAAACCGCAATTTTACCCATAAAATTAATAATTCCTGTACAGTCCTTTAGAGCGACATCAGACTGTAACCACTTCAGCATGTTACCTCTTGACCCTAGGGGGTGTCATACCATAAGTTTGATCAAAAACTTCCGACCCCCCATCTTAGCACTTTTTGCATGGTCTTCTCGCGGATACACTCTTAATCAATCGGCTTTGGTCGTTTTAGCTATGTAGAATGCACGAACTTGCACCACTGACAAGGGGAAACTACGTCGGAAAATACCGATGAACTTTCTCGGCCAATGCAGGGATCGAACACCCGACCTCCGAGGTAGCGAACCAGCGTCCTGCCCACTTTGCCAAATTAAGTTCAATTACCTGGTAGAACCCCTTACGACTTTATAGAAGGTTAATATGATGAATACCCTTATTACACGGGCAAAACGAGGAAGGTCAATTCTTAGCATCTTGGCAAATATGAGGAAGGCAAATTTTTATTTAGTATCGGCATCACTTCGCTTTTGGTCCATTGAATCGAAATGAAGTGGGTTTTGCTTTTAAGTATTTCTTTTTAATTTATATTTTGTGGCTAATATATTTATCTTAAGGGTGTTGAGTACTCTAAAATGCACATTTAAAGCTGTAAGTTTTGTACATAAGATATTACACTTTTTTGGTTATTTGGGGGGATAAACTACATATTAATCACCCAAAAAAAAAATACCAATTTCATTTACCAACTATTATCTAAACTTTCCCAAAATCCGAAATTTCTAAGTTATGCCAATATCGATTTAACACTAAATTTGGCATGAACAATGCTAAATGCAAGTCCAAGAAGCCTGCGGGACACGTTTTGGCTATAGATCGTGGTTTGTCTGGTATCCATGGATTTTCTTGGAAATTCTCCAAGTTAATCCTAAAAAGAGGTATAGCTAATCCCTCCTTTAGATCGAAAGTAGAGTTTATTTAGCGATATTTCGACACCAAAAACGTTAAAAAAATATCTACTTAAAATATTGTAAAAAAAAACCCGAATTAGTGTACAAGCATCTATATATATCCTTACATTGGGTCGTCCCGAGATACCAAAGACTCTCAAGGCAGGTTATCTAAACATACCTGTTGATTCGCATATTTCAAACCCTCGTCGCTGTTATAAATGCCAAACGTTTGTACACAGCAAAACCGTCTGCAGAGAGAGGTAAAGACACCTGCGCTCGCTGTGGCCTTGATAGTCCTACCCGCCAGACTGGGGCCTGTTTCACGACATTTTAACCAAGATAAAATCCAAATTTTAGTAATTTGATTGGATAATATTACATTGATTTTAGTGCTTAGCCAATCAAAATTGAAGTATCACTAAAATTTGAATTTCATCTTTAGTTAATTGCAAGGGTAAGCACATTGCGTATTCTCGCGAATGTCCTATTTGGGGAAAAGAGAAACGAACCCAACAGGTTCTGTCTGAACGGAAAATGATAAAAATCAAGTAAAACTTTCTACACGTTTTCCTATTGCACCACAAGTGAAATCTACTAAAACCATTTCTGTTCAGATTTAACCCGCCTAAAATATTTTCACCAGATCATGTTGAAGGGGTATCACT